GATAAAGCAGCAGCAACAAGCAAATCCTTTTGTATATTTGATTCTTGTCAATCTGACACTTCCACTCATGTCAGTATAATGCCCAAATCTGAGGCTAGTTCCTATTGGATCCTGTTGCTAAAAGCAAAACTGAACAAAAGAGTCTTTTAGAGTTTCCCCTGAACACTACCAAGGAGGGGACTGATCCTGTATTTTGGTGGAGAGAGTGCCATATCCCAAGGCAGAGGTGTGCTAGCCTTCTTGAACCTGGTGACATGATATTGTTGGACCAGGACTTCCATCATTCCTGACCATTGAAATTGGTGAAATGTGGGGCTTTAAAGCCTTATCAGTGAAAATAGACAGGATGAAATCTACACACGTGTAAAAAATGCTGTGAAAACACTTTTTAATAATAATAATAATAATAATAATAATAATAATAATAATAATTAATAATAATTTGAAAAATACATGGAATTTGGCATAGCTCACTTTTGCCATCTAGTGTCACATTTGTGTATTGCACTTTACAACACATTTAAAACGTTTTATTTGCAACTGTATAGCTGAGTCTTAAGACAGAGCTGGATACACTTACTAATCTTCCCAACCTGTGCACTAGACAATAAAAAGAAAGAAAGGCAATCATTTTGCACAGGAAGCAGGTGTTTTTCATTTCAAAGCAATAGATATTCTCATCTCTCCTTCACTGGTCATAAGATGCAAGTTATATGGCAGAAATTGTTCTTGGCATCTGTCTGTCTTGAGAGACAATGGGAGTGTGTCTCTGGGAGTTAAGTCAAATTGCTGTATTAGCAGCACTGAAGTGACCTCTCCAGGTACGCGAGCCTGGGCAATGTGTATAGAGGTCCTGTCCACCCCCTCAAGAAAGACTCCCTCTCAGTCTCGCTGATGTGGTCCACAAGAAAGCAAAGCAATACATTTGACACCCGTTGGGTTGCCGCAGTTGCCGGAAGGAGGCATACAAGATGTCAACCAACCATCTTAGGGACTCTATTCCAGATTTGTGTAGGGTTTACTCCTTAGCCTTTCTTCTCCTGAAGTCATCCCACAAGGCAACAGAAGTTTAGGATCAGAGTTTTCCTTCTCCTAGATGGGCTACCTTGCCAGGTTGATGAGCCCCATCTGCCCCTCACTTCCCTCTACAGCACGTACAGAAACTGCCTTCTTGATCGTTCGACCCATTCTTGGCGTTGTCCACTCGGTCCACCAGAGCCTGTATGCAGGGAAGTCCCTAACTCACCGAGGGTTTGAGACCCATTGGCTACCCTCACTGGGCAGAAATCACACCACTGAAACCTCCCTTCCAAATAATAGATAAAGGCTGTTTTGTGAGCACTGGCTCTGTTGTAGACCATCTCGATGTTGGAAATTCCATTCCACCTTTGCTGCAGATATGTGGGATTGTTACATGTCACATGTCTGTTTACATTCCAGCACAGATTGCTGGAGTCCTGTGAGCGGAACATCTGCTCTGTATTGCTTTTGTTTTTCTCTCTCTCTGAGAAGAAAGACAGGGAGAGAAGCTGTGCTGGTCCCGTGGGTTATCCGTGAGGTGAGGTCCGAGTCCAGTCTGAGGTCAAGGGTGCAGTATAGAGGCAGTCTGTCAAAGCTGAAGCTGGGTCCAAGGCAGGGAGTAGGGTGAGGTCAGGAGCTCCGGCAGGATAGGGTGCAGGCAGGAACTGGCTACCAACAATGTTGCTCCTGCAACTTGGGACTGGGGCTGGCTGGCTTTTATCTGCCCTGAGGCATAGGGCGGCCCCAGTCCACAGGTGACTGGCCTGGAGGCGACCACTCCTCCTGTGGGAATTTAGTTCCCTCCGCCTCTCTGCCCTGAGCCTCTGCAGCTCAGGAGAGGCTGGAGGGTTACCGGACCCAGAGGCAACCTCAGCTTCCCCTGACGGGGCTGAGAGTGGAGCACCTGCAGGCAATGGGTCCTCCATCACCTCAGGAGCCAGAGCAGATTCAGCTGGTGCCTACACCTGAGGGTCCAGCACAGGTGAGGACCCTTCAGGCTCAAGCCCCAGCCCCGGCTCAGCTGGTTCTGGAGGCGGGGAATCCTGTGCGGCCTGGGATTCCTCAGGTTCAGCCTCCGAGTCCGAATCCCAGGCCATTACAGAAGCCATGTTTTCTTTGTCCTGATTTATATACAATAAACGTAGTTCAGTATCCACGCCTCGAGCCAGATCTGTTGTGTGTTTACTCTGCTGGGTAATGTGTGCTCTTGCATGCACAGCAGCGTGAGTCGTGGACGCACATCAGAGGAGGATGACTGATGGATCTCCGCAGTGGCAAGGCTGAGAAGGGAGATGCTCTGGCTGGGGCCAAGTCAGCTGGCTTTCCATCCCACGGTTCCGACACTCATCTCATGGTTCCCAGTGGCATGGTTGCTTTGGTAACTGCATTTGTGTTTTTATTTATTATGGTTTTATCACACCCTTTATCCAACAAGCCCGGGATTTTTGCTTTCCTAAGGATTGTTCACACATACCGAGCACAAGTACAAGCTGTAGCTGCACATGTACAAGTGTTCGTGTGAAAGAGTGTACACTTGCTGATTTGTGCAGCTCAACTGTGGTGTACACAGATCGTGTGCTCATTGACTGTAGCGTGCAAATGCCTCTCTGGGTATAGTCCTGTGGAGATCAGTTTGGCAAGACCTTGTGTTGTTCATAGATATGCGCTTTGGTCTCTGCTGCATCTCTAATAATAATAATTTATTATTTATACCCCGCCCATCTGGCTGGGTCCCCCCAGCCACTCTGGGCCGCTTCCAACAAAACACTAAAATACAATAACCTATTAAACATTAAAAGCTTCCCTAAACAGGGCTGCCTTTAGATGCCTTCTAAAAGTTTGGTAGTTATTTTTCTCTTTGACATCTGATGGGAGGGTGTTCCACAGGGCGGGCACCACTACCGAGAAGGCCCTCTGCCTGGTTCCCTGTAACTTGGCTTCTCGCAGTGAAGGAACCGCTAGAAGGCCCTCGGTGCTTGACCTCAGTGTCCAGGCAGAACGATGGTGGTGGAGACGCTCCTTCAGGTATACTGGACCGAGGCCATTTAGGGCTTTAAAGGTCAGCACCAACACTTTGAATTGTGCTCGGAAACGTACTGGGAGCCAATGTAGGTCTTTCAAGACCGGTGTTATGTGGTCTCGGTGTCTGCTCCCAGTCATCCGTCTAGCTGCCGCAATCTAGATTAATTGTAGTTTCCGGGTCACCTTCAAAGGTAGCCCCACATAGAGCGCATTGCAGTAGTCGAAGCGAGAGATAACCAGAGCATTCACCACTCTGGTGAGACAGTCTGTGGGCAGGTAGGGTCTCAGCCTTCGTACCAGATGGAGCTGATAAACAGCTGCCCTGGACACAACTTCTTCCATTCATAGCTTTCCCCCTTTCTTCCCTCAGCTTTCCTTATGCAAACTTCATGTTCCTACATCTGCAGCTCAAAGTGAGCAAGGCCGCACAGTTAAGTTTCATACACAGAAATGCTCATTTGCAGCCCTTTATATATACACCCACTTGGTAAAATTAGATTAAAATAACACTACATCCCATGTTAATCATCCCATAAATAATGCATTTGTTTATATGTATGTTGATAGTTGGTAATGTAATACGTAATTGGAAAACAGATTTAATGCAATTAATACTTAATGAATCTCATCAGAATCAAGACTTGCTTATTTGGTGAACAACATGTTAATGGGCAACTTTGTTAAAAAGAGAGAAATGGAAATGGTCAAGGAAAAGAGGACTTTTCAGCATGTTTTTTAGTTATCAAGATGATCAAGGGTCTCGAAACCAAGCCTTATGACGAATGGGTGAAGGAGCTGGGTATGTTTAGCCTGCAAAAAGAGGAGGAGGCTGAGAGGAGATCTGCTAGCTATCTTCAAATATCTTAAGGGCTGTCACATGGGAAAATGGAGCAGGCTTGTTCTCTCCTGTTCTGGAGGGTAGAACTCAAACCAATGGATTCAAGGTACAAGAAAGGAGATTCTGCGTAAGCACCAGGAAGAGCTTTCTCCTGGTAGGAGCTGTTTGATGGTGGAGTGGACTTCCCTGGGAGGCTGTAGACTCTTCTTCACTGGAGGCTTTTCAGCAGACGTTGGATGGCCATCTGCCATCGATGCATTGCAGTCAGTTGGACTAGATGAACCCCAGGGCCTCTTCCAACTCTACAATTCTGTGATTCTAGGATTCTGAATTCTATGATTCAGCAGCCACGAAATTAAAAGACGCCTGCTTCTTGGGAGAAAAGCAATGACAAACCTAGACAGCATCTTAAAAAGTAAAAAGTAGAGACATCAACTTGCCAACAAAGGTCCGTATAGTAAAAGCTATGGTTTTCCCAGTAGTGATGTATGGAAGTGCAAGCTGGACCATAAAGAAGGCTGATCACCGAATAATTGATGCTTTTGAATTATGGTACTGGAGGAGACTCTTGAGAGTCCCATGGACTGCAAGAAGATCAAACCTATCCATTCTGAAAGAAATCAGCCCTGAGTGCTCACTGGAAGGACAGATCATGAAGCTGAGGCTCCAATACTTTGGTCACCTCATGAGAAGAGAAGACACCCTGGAAAAGACCCTGATGCTGGGAAAGATGGAGGGCACAAGGAGAAGGGGACGACAGAGGACGAGATGGTTGGATAGTGTTCCTGAAGCTACCAGCATGAGTTTGTCCAAACTGCGGGAGGCAGTGGAAGACAGGAGTGCCTGGCGTGCTCTGGTCCATGGGGTCACGAAGAGTTGGAAACGACTAAACAACAACAACAACAACAACAACAACAACAACAACATGATTCTGCCAGAATTTGGCCCTATACAGCAAACTTCCGGGTGTATTAGGAAACAGTTCCCATCAGGCTGTGGGGCTGATGGGATCGGTGGCCCAAAGTTTGGAGGAGGCTGCTACAAATGTTACCCTACAGTCTACACATTTATCTTGGAGCGAGCCCCATTGAGCTCACATAGGATTGTGCTGTTAGGCATGTAAGTGGCGTTTTAAAAATGAAGTAAAAATACCACTTGCCGACCACTTTAATCTATGCAAGCTTCTGTATTGTCCTTTGGAGACTAGTAGCTGACGCATTTCCCAAATATTCACATTTTGCATTTTTATTAATGGAGCGAGATAAAAATGCTCTTGAGGACAGTTGGGCATTGTAGGAAATGCTAAGAATGTGACAGGTTTTCTGCACTGAGCACACAAGGGCCACACTAATGTCAGAAAGTTTAAATATATTGTATTGCAAATGAAATTAAGTATGATAAATCTTTACCTTTAGACTTTTCATCTCAATTCCCGTTCTTATGCTGTGTTCCAGCAGCGCTGTGGCTCCTTTTTCTATTTGGCCTGAGTTCCTTCCCTTCCAGCAGTCTTTGAATGACAGCGTTCCCTCTGCGTTAAAGGCGGTCTTAGTTATGTGAGTCCCAATCCACAAGTAGTCAGAATGCCACCGGCCTTGCACACAGGAAGAGGTACAGTCGTACATTGCATCCCTGATGCCTTGCGAGTCTAACGTTTTGGCTCCTGAACACCGCAAACCCAGAAGTGAGTGTTCCAGTTTGCGAACGTTCTTTGTAACCCAAACGTCCGACACGGCTTCCACGACTTCCGATTGGCTGCAGGAATCCATTCCGGAAGTCCATTCAACTTCTGAAAATGTTGAAAACCAAGGTGATTCCTGCAGCCAACCGGAAGCCACACCTTGGTTTTCAAACATTTCCGGAAGTTGAATGGACTTCTGGAACGGTTTCTGTTTGAGAACCAAAGTACAACTGTATGTTAGCAGACTCAAGGAGCTCCAAGGTTTGCAGAAGTGCAAATGAAGGTTAGGAAACAGACTTGCAGGACCTCCCCCCCCGCCCCCCCTAAAAAAAGAATGAGGAGCAAGCATGTATCTTAACCATGAAATGCTGACTGCTTAGACTGAAAACGAGAAGCAAGGAGGGGGAATGGAATGGAGGATCTGAAATTCTGAACAGCGACACTCCATGCTGTAGCATTTTGTTGTGGCACCCATCTGTTGTTTTTCTATCACCTTTAGATTGCTATCCTTATATCACTTCCCACAGCCTTGGTCACTGTTGCCTTTTACCAATAATTTTAAAGTCTTTGTCCTGATAGATACTCTTTTGCAGATAACATTTTTGCTTACAATGCATCTGACTGGTACTTTTTTTTTTGCACAACTAGTATACATTGCGAGGTTTTCTATTTCATCCCCACCCAAAGATTTCTCCCAGTTATACAATTTGTATTTGTAAAGGTTTTCTTTTTCTGAGTGACCTTGAACTTAAAAGGGCATTGGTACACTGGTGCTTGATTTATTTATTTGCATAAAGAATTCATATACAGTGGACCCTCTGGATACAAATTAAATTCTTTCCTGGGGTCCGTACTTATCCCTGAAAAGTCTGTAACTGGAGGTGCCGCTTCTGCGCACGCGTACGGCGAAACCCAAAGTATACACTTCCGGGTTTGCTGCGTTCGCAACCCGAAAGTTACATATCCAGAGTGGTACGTAACTCGAGGGTCCACTGTACTGCCTTTCAATATAAGAATCTCCAGGGTGGCTTCCGAACGAAACAGTGAAATTGTGCTTCAGGAGAACAGGGCAGCAGAGAAAATGAGCACAGTAAAAATGGAAAGGATTCCCTTGCCCTGCCACTCAGAAAGCCATCTGCTGGTGCCAGAAAAACATCCGAATAGGCAAAAGACGAACTTGTCTAGGGAGAGCACTATATCTGAGAAGGTCCTTACCTCATTGCCATCCTAGATCTGGCCTGAATCTCTCTCTCTCCCACACACAAGAGAAAAGGATCATTTGTCCTTTCTGAAAATGGGGAGGCTGTGCAGAGACCGTGTGTGTGTGAACTGTATGCACTTTCAGTGTGTGGCTTACCACAGGAGGCTGCCTTATAATGAGCCAGACCATTGGATGTTTATTCCGCTAAATCTACCTGCTGCACCTTCTTGTTTCTGCATTTTTTATGGCTCGTAGTTCATGTGCCTACTGAGGACTAGGCACAGGTAGGGCTACTGGATTAATATTATTATTAAACAGAATGAATAAAAGCTATGCTGGCCATTGAAGGCGGGTGTTGTTTAATGGTGCACTTACTTTGGACATAATAGCACTTGGCCAAGGTTGCTGGTAGCATATGTTTGACTGTAAGGCCTTCCTCTGCATTTCCCAACCCAGTTTGTGTTGCACGCAAAGAGGAAGAAACAATTCTCATATCATTCTTAGTTTCATTTTTTTTTTAACTGAAAAGCAGAGTGGAGGATTTGTTGTTGTTGTTGTTGTTCCATCCTGCTTTTGTATACAGTGGTACCTCGGGTTAAGAATTTAATTCGTTCCAGAGGTCCGTTCTTAACCTGAAACTGTTCTTAACCTGAAGCACCACTTTAGCTAATGGGGCCTCTCGTTGCTGCTGCGTGATTTCTGTTCTCATCCTGAAGCAAAGTTCTTAACCTGAGATACTATTTCTGGGGTATCAGAGTCTGTAACCTGAAGCGTCTGTAACCTGAAGCGTATGTAACCCGAGGTACCACTGTATTTTGGAGGAAATACATTCAGACTTGGTTATTTCAGCCCATAGAGTGTTGTTTTCCATAGACATTTCTTCTTGCAAAATTAATTTCTTCCTTTAGCCTCCCCGTGATGCCAGAGAAATGCCACAACATTTTATTTATCCCTATAAGATAGACCTCACTGGTAATCCCAGAATGAGCAGAGATGACTTTTTTTCCTGTAAGTGTGGTGGGATGCCATTTCATTTCAGCCAACCGCTGCAGACTCCAGCTATTTCTCAGATTCTGCCTCTCTCCCTGCCCCCCTCTTTTTTGGGGGGTGAAAAGCATGATTGATATTAATCTTTTATTTTCCTTTATAAAAAATTATTTCCCCCCCTGAACTCCATACTGGTAATATATTATTCAGCCTTTCTTTAATAACAGCTTTGGGTTGTTCCATTAGTCACTACAGTTATTACAACGCTAAAGGCCTAATTCATCAGCATTTGACTTCCACAGGCAGAGTGTAATGCTTGTCTGATTCCCCCCATGCATCAGGGCTGTCGTTCTGGGTTATGTGGGAAGCAGCTGCCATTTTGGCAGGAATGTAAGGTGCTTGAAGCAAGCATGCCACTCTGTGACAGTGTGAGGCAAACAATAGCATGTCAAGTGCCTTGTCTAAAGACAAGCCTATTGAAAGATGCATAAATGGAAGTCTGGTTAGCTATTCCATCATTTTCAAGACTATCCAAGCCATCCAGGGCAATTAACAAATTTATAACAACCTCATGAAGGCCATACGCTCCAATCGTCCCTATTTGCCCAGGACATTTCCAGAATTACAGATCCCAGGATATCCCAGGGATTATCTGGCATCGGTGTGGGAATGTCCAGGGTGGCAGGAGAGGATATATTGTTTATTATCATTGCTAGCTTGCGCTAGTAAGTTTCTTTACTTAGCAGAGTTACATTCCCCTTTTTACATGCACAGCAGATAGCTGGTTGCAGGCTCGTGTGAGCCTCTCACTATTATACAATTCAGTCTGTCTCAGATTGAATTGTACGTTCCTGGTAAGTTCCCTTGAATCCCTCTTAAAAGAATAATGACACCACAATCTTATTCAAAGTCAATAAAAGAAGTTTACTGTAGATTCTGGCGTATTAGGCGACTGGGCGTATTAGACGACCCCCCAAATTGGCAGCTACTCGGAAGCAGCAGCAGTGGGTGGGCTCCGCTCCACGCCGCCCATACCTGGCATATAAGACGACCCTCGCCTTTTTAACCTCTTTTCCGGGGTTAAAAAGTCATCTTATACGCTGGAATCTACGGTACTTACATCAGTTCACAGTTGGATTCCTGAAGGCAGACTTAGTTACAAAAATGTACATGTGGATCTACCCCATATGGGGGAATAATCCCAGTGCTTCTGCTGGCTGAGAGCTAGCAGAGCAGTCCTAGCTAAAAGCTGGTCAAACGAAGAAGGAAGTCAAAAAGAGAGAAGGGTGCTGTGTGACTCGTCCTTTTGTTACCTGGACAGGTTAAATCACGCCCATCTTCTATCACATGCGAAGGGAAGGATGCTCCAGCCAGGAGGAACAGGAAGTTTCGACTGGCTGGACCAAATGTTCCCTCGCATGTCTTCTCTAGCATTACAAGGAATGTTGTACTTGATTCCCTCTCATGGATCACATCCCACAGTTGGCACTTGCAGAGAGTGCGGCACCAAAAGACCCACATCCCGATTTTCATCAGCGTGATGTTGGAGGGTGTGGAAGGCAAGTTGTGCAGCCATTCATAGGGAGACAGAAAGCTACTCAATTTATTTATTTGACTTCTCTTAGTGCAGGACCCAAGGCAGCTCACATCATATTGTTGTAGAGTGCTTCAACATATTTCTGCATTGCAGCAGAATATACATTTTTTAAAAATGAATAAGTAAAATAAAAAAAAAACCATACAAATAAATTAAAACCGATTCAAATGATCATGCTTTCCATACATTCCACACTTGACCTTTGGTAAAATTGCCCTTATCTGGCATGAGGGCAATAGATCAAGAAGGCATCTCTAACATGCTTTTTTGTGTTGCACACTGTACATACCCTTGGCATTAGGGCACTGGGGGCATGGTGTGAGAGTCAGAAAGCTACATTTTTTAAGGTAAAGTTTCCTGGGAGCTAAATCCTGAGATTATATCAAATTGATGAATATTTCCAGGGAACGCCTTTAGGTGGTTTAGCTGGTGTTATGTATCCATAGACTTACGGAGCTTTGAACTTCCCATTTGAAACCAGTCATTTACAATGGAAAGTTAAACACCTACATCACACTAGCTATGTTACATAAAAGCGCTCCCCTTTAATTACTCCTGGACAGGGCTTGCCAAAATTTCATGGATTCCGGATGGACTTCAGTTCCCTTCATCCCTGTCTATTCACCATGCTGGCCGGGGCTGATAACTGTTGAAGTCCAACAATATCTGGACTACCCCTAACTAACAGCATGGAGTGCAACTCACGTCCGTTTAGGAGATACACAACAGAAAGATTGTCCTTAGAGGGAGCAGCTGCAGGCAGTGTGTATTTGTGGGAGGGAACTGGAGGGGTTGTATCTGTGTATGTTTGTGCACTTCTTCATGGTTTTGTGTGAGAGAGATTGGGCAAGGAACAGCCAAAACTTCATTTGACCTGGAGTCTTTGAAAAAGTTCACACCTCTCTGTTCTATAACTTCTTCTATGATATCAGGGGTGGGACACATGCTAGGGTTGCCTCCCCCTCTAAGCTTGACAACAATGAACTTCTTTCTTAATCACTGAACAACTGAAGGGTGCTGGAGGCTTACAGTGCAATCCTAACCATGTCTACTCAGAAGTAACACCTAGTGAATTGAATGAGGTAAGTGGGTTTAGGATTGGAGCCTATGTTGTAACTGAGCGCAGTATGCACAACTGCTGAACATGTTCATTATTTACATGGTGGGTACATTAAAGTGGGTGTCCTAACCTGCAGTTTCCATTCACTGGTGTGTTTGTGTGTGAGTAAACCTGTCTTTAGCCAAATGGATGACGAGATACATAAATATATTCTCTTCTGTAAATAACTCTGGCATTTTTTTTAGTTCTGCTGTTTGATGTATGTCTTGCTGTCGGTGTTGTTATTTATTTAGATTTGTACTGCAGTTGCCAATAGTCTGCTTTTCAGGGTTTTTATGGTTCTTAACTTTAATTGCGAGCCACCCAGAGGACATTATTAATTGAGCATTGTGCAAATAAACAGAGAAACAAAGTGACCGTTGTTGTTTTATGGATGCCCAAACACATAAATGTATAATAATTTTGCTCTTTGTTTTGAGCATTGGGGATGAGCCCTGAGCGGCTTGGAGCGTGTTGTGGTTGTGGAGCCGGAGCCAAGAGTGGATCTGATGAGCGTTTGCCTCTCCCTCCTTTATCTTACACACACACACACTTGGTTTCCACAACTCCAAGATTTATTGACTGCATGGGTGCTCCATTGCATAGGTCAAGCCCAGATAATGCCATTTTGAGGACATGTCTCATTTGAGGACATGGTTGAACAAAACTGATACGAAGAATTGGGGTATAGTAATAATTAAAAGTTTCATGCCATCCTTGGCCTGCCGCACCACCCTTTAGTGATAAAAGGGAATGTCACACAATATTATCTACTGATTGGGCTGAGGCTCCTGCTGATTGGACCATTATGAGGTGATGAAAGTTAAACAGCTGTCTATTGAATTGCATGGATTTTGCCTTTATTATACCTCAGCCGCAGCAGCAGCAGCAAAGAAAAAGGCATTAAAAACATCACAGAGGAAAGAATAAGAGCTTGCTCTTGAGTGCCTCGCCTTCATTACACATTATTACACCAAAAGTGCCTGTGAGCATAGAGGTACTGATTGGAAATGTCACTTTTTGACATAATCAAACCCTTTTAGGAGAGGTAAAAATGGCTAGCGGTACGTTTTTAAGCAACAGTTTTGTTAGACCAAAGGGCAAAATAGTGCATCTTAGAAAATGTCAAGAGCAAAACGAATTTAGCAATAAACAGCGTTTTGCTGGAGACACATTTTACTTCTGTAGGTGCAGCCTGTGTCAAATCATCTGCATTTCTGCATATGTTTTCCTGCCAAAATCCGGAGCCTTCGATTTGCCATTTTAAAGGCGATCTTTTGAAAAACAACATAATAAAGCCTATTAAACAAATGAATGCACTTATGTGTTTAATTCCACCCCCCATTTAAAACTTTGGGTTGTTTTTTTAAAAAAATTAAGCCAGTGGGAGTGTATGGAACTAAGTAATTAGCCAAGAGGCTGACATTTACCAGTTTGAAATGACAAATCCCAGATATTTTATAACATTGTCTTGTGAAATCGCTGCCTCCTCTCCTCCCTTCCCCCTGGCATACATATGTGAAACACAGAGGAAACTAATAGCAGCCTTCGATATTCTTGCACATAGGTAGTCGCTGGCCTACTTTATAGTGTCTCATCCAATATCTTGGCTATAAATGTTGGCCTCCTTGGAGGGTTTTGAATGTTTAGAACTGTGAAGTAAAGCTTGAACATGTTTTGTCTTTTTGTTTTGTTTCTCCTCAGGAGGTAGCACTCTGAGAGTGTTTAAGCCTGAGTATAAGCACGCTTGCAACAGCATTCAAAGGTGCCGTTGAAACATCTGCTCTTGTTTTGTTCAGTTATGCTCTGACATAAAACAACCCACTTTGCTTGTCCCCTTCGAAAAGGAAGAGCAACATGGCACGTAACATCTGTGAGCGAAAGGGGGGGGGGGAAGTGGATCAGAATGCGGGAAACACTTGCAAAATCAGATGGCGCTGCCATTTATCTATTTAAATCTGCCCCTCCCACTTCTTATCGTGAGATCCAAGGTGGCTTATGGATTGAAACTATGGAATGTAGTGGTACCTTGGGTTACATACGCTTCAGGTTACATACGCTTCAGGTTACAGACTCCGCTAACCCAGAAATAGTACCTCGGGTTAAGAACTTTGCTTCAGGATGAGAACAGAAATCGTGCTCCAGCGGCACGGCAGCAGCAGGAGGCCCCATTAGCTAAAGTGGTGCTTCAGGTTAAGAACAGTTTCAGGTTAAGTACGGACCTCCGGAACGAATTAAGTACTTAACCTGAGGTTCCATTGTAATCAAATTGGGGTGGGAATTGACAATAATGCAAGATAATGCTAAAACCACATAAGACAGCCAATAAACAGGTCTCTATTGCCCACATGGATTAGCAGTGACTTCCCAGGGTTTCTGGTGGGAAGGCATCCACAGGCTTGGGGGCCTTCTGAGCTACAACCCTTCCCAATTTAGGTTTGCTGATGGTAAAGATAAAGGTAAAGGACCCCTAGACTTTTAAGTCCAGTCAAAGGCGACTATGGGGTTGTGGCGCTCATCTTGCTTTCAGGCTGAGGGAGCCGGCATTTGTCCATAGACAGCTTTCCAGGTCATGTGGCCAGCATGACTAAACCGCTTCTGGCGTAACGGAACACCGTGACGGAAACCAGAGTGCACAGAAATGCTGTTTAGCTTCCCACCTTAGTGGTAATTATTTATCTACTTGCACTGGCATACTTTCAAACTGCTAGGTTGGCAGGAGCTGGGACAGAGCAACGCGAGCTCACTCCGTTGCGGGGATTCGAACCGCTGACCTTCCAATCAGCAAGCCCAAGAGGCTCAGTGGTTTAGACCACAGCGCCACCCGCGTCCCTTATTGCTAATGGTAGCCACAATTGGGCCCATAACTGTACTCTCCAATGCCTTCTGAAATTAGTGAGGTTTTTAACCATCTGCTGGAAGGCCAAAGGAGAGGAAAAGAGGCAGGCCTCTTAGGAAAGAGAATGCCATCACCTGGGGCCAGATCCTGAGAAGATCACCCTGCAGTTCTTTGACCGAGAGTTTTGTAATCCCAGAATTTGCCGTTATTTATGCTAGTCCATCTTCTGTGGGGACTTTAGTTGACCTGTTATCTGCCTCAAGTTCCTGCCTTTGTCTCCTTAACCCAATTTTCTGTGGCGATGCTATTTTTTGCCAAAACGTGCCTCATGGGGTCACAAATCTGAATGTAGAGCTGGCCAACCAATATTATTTGGCTGCCCTTTGTTCCAAGCATGCTAGTCAGATCACCTCACAGCCATCAATCTCGATGGGCGACCTTAGGCTGGTGGCACATAGGCATCTGGGCAGGCACTATGAGTACAGAATACTGGACTCGGTGGGCCATTGGCCAGATCTAGCAGGCTCTCCTTACGTTTCTATCACCCAGACTATCTCCAGAGCTCCTTGAAGGAAGCACAGAGCTAAAATAAATAGTGTTGTAGGAATAGAGTCTTTTTTGTATGGTAAAGCATTCAAATTGCTGCATGCATCATAGATTTCACCACTACCACCTGTATTCTGGAGTGGTACAGCCCAGGAAGAGCCGCGTTATGTGATCTTCTGCTGATTGTTTGCTTTAGAAGATTCTACTAAATTGTTCTGGTCTGGATGTGGTCCTGCTTGAAAGGCCAACTATTTTCGGACAGGGAGGGTGTGGGAAAAACAGAATTTATATTCTCTAGATATAAATTAGCTCTGCAGTACATAAAAAGACAGTTGGCATTGTCAAAACAGTATGCAAAGGATGGCACAAACGTATCAAAAACATGACCCTTCCTTACAGGTTAGGGGAAAAAAATATAATTTAAGCGGTGCATAATGACTAATTAGTGCTTCTTGTCAAGGTAGCAGAGGGAAACTGTTTCTTTAAAGTGAAGAAGTCCAGATATCAAAGATTTACTGACAGTAATGAAATCTCACCATTGCAGACTGTTTTAGAGAGGTGCATCTGTGCACTGAATAAACTCCCCACATCTGGACGGGGGTCCAGTCCCTTGTTGTCTCACATC